TGTAAGTTAAGTCTTATTCGGAAAAGTCGCTGTGGCCTCGAATTCTGACGGCGAAAGCAGGTTCTAATAAACGATAGACGTTCGGGCAACCGGGTTTTGATGGAATAATTTGCTGGAAAGATTTAGTGTGCTGAACAGCGTTTTTTTGATCTTCTGAATGAGTTGTCACACGATTGTGGTGAGCATAAGGCTTGGTCATCGGGCCGACTCACAGTTTCTTTCATTAGGATGCTCACGTGAGTAAGACTTCCTTCCAGACCTGTACAGGTGCTTGTTCAGCACCTCGTTCCCAGGCTCTCGACCTCCAGAGCCCCTATTCAGTAGGCGGTGGAAAGTAGACAGCTGGGATATGTCGGGTGGATTTCGATCCAGAGTTGTGCGAGAACACCCGCTGGCACTTCGCCTAGCTCTTGATCCTAGATTATATTACTGTCATTGTGAGGAATCCTGCTGTCCGCCTGTTGGGAAATTCGAAAGTAGCTACCTCTGGAAGGAGCCAGGGTTTTCATCTTTCATACTCATCTGTGACTAAAACTACGTTAGTGCTACGTTTCTTATGCAGAAGATTCCCTTTCTCTATCCAAACAGCAATGCCTTCAAGTTTCGGGAAAGAGAAAAACCGTGCGTTGAAGAGAAATCGGCCTAAATGAACTCAGAAAATGCTTACAGTGTCGAACATGATTACACTAATGGTGCGATGAGGAAACGGAACTTCGTTTTTCCCAGAAAGTAAATAGTAAAGGAACGGAAGAGTTCCTTCACACTCATGTTGTTCATCGCACTTCCAGGTTTGCCACTGTAAACACAAGTACAAAAGCAGCAATATACAGGTGACTAAGTTCGATAGGACTCTATGCGGTGCCACATGCATTTGACCTAAAATTAAAGACTTCTACGTTCTCCGAACTATATGACAGCTGTACGAAGAGGAAACTGCCCAAAAAATTACACATAGCTATAAATTGAGCAGATTTGTTACAAAATAAAATGTGTTTTTCTGAAGGTTAAGATTGTATCCGAGTATTGCAACGGTCCTCCTAGCTGTGAATGTATCTTTACGTGGGTTATTGATTCCGTTATCTAATGATCAAGCCAAGGGAAACAAGATTATATATATATATATATGTATATATATATATATATATANGTGAGTAAGACTTCCTTCCAGACCTGTACAGGTGCTTGATCAGCACCTCGTTCCCAGGCTCTCGACCTCTAGAGCCCCTATTCAGTAGGCGGTGGAAAGTAGACAGCT